ACGCGGGACGTAGGGTCGAGCGCGTGATCATGCCTCCTCCGCTTGTTGGGGGGCAACGCGTTCGTAAATAGAGTCGAGAATCGTCACGCTGACTCCCCGAACGTAGCCCGCGATCGCATGAAGCTGAGCGACGGTATTGTTCTTTCCCGGCACACCACGACTGATGCTCATGTACTCGACTACTTCATGTGAAGGTTTCTAGGTTGCGGGTATATATGGAGAGGAAATGGGCCTGTACGAGCCAGCGAACCACGCGCAATTCACAATTCTCTTAATCTAATATTCGAACCTTTGCTGGATCCTTGGCGACGCTCTCGCTCCTCCTCAAAGTCTACGAAATCCTCCAGGTACGCGATCCTCTCTTCGCGATTCACTCCTTCCAGTCTCAGCTAGCGCTGGGGCTATTCTATCTAATCTGATCCCGAACTCTCAGTCCACGAGGAGGCTGTACTAACGTCGACAACACCCGGGTTCCGATCCCACGAGCACAAAACCCCCACTACGACACCGAACACGTTGGTTTCGTACAACGAGTAAGTGGGATGCTGCAGAATAACATTATTCACTGTTTTCATACGGAGGATGGTACATCGGTGCAGAATACGACTAACGGCTGCAACATCACCCCGCATATGTTCGTGCACTAACATTCCTAATAGACTCAATGGAAGTAGGGTTGTGTAATCAACTCGATATGTGGATGATTTCCGGCAATGGTCAGAACCAGCTCATCGGAAGGCCTCCGAAGAAACAGTCTTGAAAACTGAGGGAGATCAAACAACGGTCCCAAGATTTCGTATGTGACTTTCTTTGAGAGGTTTGAGCGTGTGTCAAAAGCCAGACCAAAGAGTGTCAAGGTGTCTCGGAAGGGAGACTGCTGCACACACTGAATATGCGCGCACAGCATTGTTGGGTCGAGGTTCTCCGAGTCATCCTCAACATCAATGATGAGCCTCGTGAGGACCGCTGAGCTGACGCTGCCCAGAAAAGATAAGGAACTTTCATCCATATGCTTGACGCTGAAGCGCATAGCATGCAAAGCCGAGAAGGGACGATGGATCCCTTCGAAGATACGACGTTCGAGAGGTGTCTCGTCGAGGCAGATCCACACGTCGCGGAGGTTAGGATTTCTCGCGAGCTTGATGACACCATTTTCAGGGACTGGAATATGGACCGACGAGAATTCTTGGGCGCGAGCGCACGTGGTTCGAAGAAGGTCGATGATGGGCCTCGACGTGAACTCAGGGTCGCAGCGATAATCATAATCGTGTATGGCCAAGAGGTGAAGGATGCGTAGCCGAGGATATGTTGATTGCACCATTTGCACGAACGTACCAACATGACTCGACAATTCAGCTTCAGCTTCTCCTTCAAAACGTATATCCAGCCGGAGCACTTCGAGATTGGTGCATACGCAGCACATCCTTGCGAGAAAGGTGATGCCGCACCTCATCGACGTCCAGTCACTGTCGATTTCAATATGCACATCCACGAGCTCGGGTCCGATGAGCATGTCGAAACCCTCCATGTCACCCGAGAGATGTAGCTTAAGGACACGGGTTCGTGGGAGGAAGCAGAAATCGCTGGGAAGATGAGGTGCCAGATACTCCAACGTAGAGAGCTCTATATAGTCCTCAATGATGCTGAGTTCTCGTAAGAAGCACGAGTAATGCTCCAGTCGGGATGTGTCAATTTGGATCATAGTGGCAGGACTTGTGTGTCGCAAGGCGTCGAATATGTTCTATAGGCCGACTATATGTCAGCTTCAGATATCTGTTGGGGAATAAAAGGGGTCTCACATCATGGTAAAGCTTGTGGCGGCCCGAGGGTCTTCGGGGGAACTCGAGCTCACCGTGGATGCCATTCGGCGGCAGAGTCTCCACAAGTGGGGCGACACTAACCATTTTCTCCCACAAAACGCATATGGCAGGGACATGGAAGGATTTGCACGTTGCTGCGAGACTCGCGACTGAGCCTTCACCGCTTCCAGAACTGTATACGTGACGGACGATCTGATCGAAAATCTCAGCGATGAGCAGGCAACGATGACCTGTAAAGGCGACCAGCCCATGCATGTGACTTGAACTTGAAGGTAGCGAAGTCATTTGTGGGTAGCTTGCCTGTCTCAGATGTGTGCAGGGAACTTGAGGCGAAAGACGAACGCGGACCACTTTGACGGTGAGGTTGGACTTGGCACCGATCGGTGGCTACCAGCGCCCATCAATCTCAAAAACTTGAGCACGAGCGCCTCTCGTGGCTTCAGCGCTTCGACTCGGCCGCCACTCATATTCAACATAATCTATGGTAGACCGTGAGCTGCTCAAGATTTATTTGGTCGTCTCGATGATCTGACTGATGGTGCATTGTTTTCGATATGTAGAAACCGAGCCCGCTGACACGCTGGCGACGACAGCTGCCACTCGCTGCTTGCTGTCCAACCAGATTGTAAGCCTGATAGCGCGAGCCCTGTATTCAAATGGGGACGGAAAACGCTCTGTGGCGAACCTGGGAATCGCCTGTCGCTCGCTGCATGTCCCAGCAATGTCTGTCCTCTGGGAGACAATGTCGGGTCTTGCGCCGCTCATCTACACACTGCCTCCAAATCATGTCGACGAGTATGAAGAAGACGTACCTGAGAATCATTAGAGTATCGCTATCATTGTCAGTAACCACTCCCAAACGCCCACGATATAAACGACTGACATTGACGACGTAGGGTGTCAATCGACATCGCTTAGAGTCTAATGCTCGTCTAGCACTGAATACCCGACGTCTGGATCATTACGCAAGGTTCATCAAGCACGTAACCATTCACAACGAGGACGCATACTATGCGACCTTGCATGATCTATCCATCCACAAGGTCTCGGGATACCACCTGCTACCGGAAGTGCGCACTTTAGACCTTCATCTTGACGCTGTGGGTGGACCAGAAGGTATATACATGCTCCTCGGGCCTCGAGTGGATGCCATCTCTGTGCGAGTTGCAAAGGACGACGTCGGGCTCCGGTGGACCATAGTACTATTTACCAAGATGTTCGCGATCTGCCGCAACTTGCAGACCTTACATGTCGACTTCGGCGACTGTCATGAAGACGATATTTGTATGATCCTAGACACGATTCGAGCCGCACGCCCCTCCCTCACGGCTCTCCATCTCGGACGCAAATATTGGGTGTATTCCCGGGCCATGGGCAGCGAGCTGATTGCGAGACTGCTGCGACTCATCAGTGGCACCATTCGTGATTTCTCGTCGACTCTCCTCATTAACTACGTTTCCGTCCAATCGTTCAGTCTCTTCAGGAACCTTCAGAACCTGGTGATCCATTTGGACGAGAATACTACATGGTAT